TGTAACAGTGCTGGGTCTTTAACGAAGACTTTCAGCCTGCTGCAAATTATAATTTTTATCAGTGAAGGTTTCATGTCGTGGGAAAACAGTGCCCAACAGCCCCGTCTCCTGCCTGGCTGCACTCGCTGTGGCTGGTCCTGAGAAGCTGGACAGCCTTTAGCTCTACAGATGGAACGAGGGGCACTTTCACCTGTGGAATTTCTCTTCCTGTAGTTGCCTTGGGAGATGGATAACATCACTCCTGTTATTTAGGTTCAGAAGATGTACTGCAGAAAATTTAAGAAGCTCAACTAAGATCTGCACCAGTTGTGAGTAGTGAAGTCAGAATTCCAGGCTTAGTTTTCAGTCCCAAATGCAGTACTCATTCTTCCAGACCAGGGCTCAGCAAAGTGACCCCTGGACCAAAGCTGTCCCACCCACTGTTGTAAATAAAATTTTATTGGAATACAGCCTCATCCAGTTTTTGCATTTTATCTGTGGCTAAATAGAAGGACTGGCCACCTGAGCTTCTTCCATCCAAAGAATTGTGAGGAAATAATAAACCATTGTTGTTTTTGCTGATAGGTTTTGGGGCGGTTTGTTATACATCAGTGGATAAAATGAAATGTCCCAAGACATTTCAAAATGAGATAAGACCCAAAAGGAGACCTCAGATGCCTTCTGGGTTGGATGGTAGTAGCACATCACAAAAACACGGATCCTCCCATGTTGGTGTTGGAAGACTTTGAGAAGTGAAACAAAGTTGAGCTCCCTTTCTGAGTTACCCAAATGTAATTCCTAAGAACTCTAAAATATTACCAATGGAATCTGGAGAGCTATCTTACAGATATGATAAGCATAGAATACTTGTTTCTTTATTTTGAACTTGTCATGGAAAATCAGTGTATAATAAACATTTTAAGTAGCTTACAGAATGTTTCCTAAAATAACTGAAGTTAAAACATTTGTACTAGACTTCCTGGAAATGAAAAGCTTTTCTGAAAATGATTTATGAGTGGATTTTACCCTATGATACTAAGGGTATATTTTCAATTCATGGGTTATACTTAATTAAGTAGCTGTATTTAAAAAAATAGTTGAGTAAAGGCTGATCAATTTGATATTGCTTGATTCTAATCAGATTTCACTGATAGTGAAAGTCATAGAAGTAGGTGTTCAAGCATGTGTCTTTTTGTAGCTTTGAATCTATGATGTGCACTGAGCAGGCCTGCCCACATACATGGTCACCACACTTTCTAATGTCAGAGCTGATTATTTCATCTAACTCACTGGACATCTCAGGTGAGCTTTGCAGCTAGATATGTTGCTACAGTTGCCCACCAGGTAAAGGCCAAGCTCTTTGTAGCAACTATAACTACAACTACTATAACACAGTTTATAGTGGTAGGTAGTGGCGTTCCTAGAGTTTTGACCAGCTGGCCTAGATCTACCCCCAGTAACCTCCCCAGCTCCAGCCCCCCTGAATCTTAAGCTCTACCCACATTGAACATTTTCATACTCCTGCTAAAAATGCTTTCCAGGTCTTTCCAACTAAACAACTCGCCCCCCCCCACCACCTACCCCCAGCAACAAAGGAAAAAAGAAAAAAGAAAAAACCTTCCTGGTTATGAATATTTTACACTTTTTTATCCAGACTAATTTTAGAATTGTCTGTGCCCCTACCACTACTGTCAACAAACTTATTAAATAAAATGCAAGATTGATTTTTTGCAGTTTTTATTTAAAAAAATTTTGTAGTCCTTTGACTGTCTGAAGTGTGCACAGAGTATTGGATGAAAAGTGACTTTGATACTTTCTTTCCTTCTGAGGGTTTGCTACTAATTTTCTTTATAATTATGTTTATTTCCTTCTGTTTATGTTCTGTTTTGGGGTTCCCCATCTTCATTGACTTAATATCTTGATGATGTAAAACATCAATGCCTTTTTTGAGAGAAACAATAAACTATCCAGAAATTTATTTAAAATTTAAAATTTATTTATATGTGGTTCTGAGAATGGAAACTAGTGCCTCACACATGCTAGGAAAGCGCTCTACCATTGAGCCACAACCCCAGCTCTTTAATGCCTTTCTTTTTTCACTTAGTAATATATTCCAGTTTATGGGGATCAATCTATCTATCTATCTATCTATCTATCTATCTATCTATCTATCTATCTATCTATCATCTATCTACCTATCTATCTATTTTTCTTTCTTTCTCTCTAGCAGCAAAGCATTCTATTATTTGGTTAAATAAACTCTTGCATAATTAAGATTGCTGCCAGTATTTCTCTCCTACATTTCATGTCATAACAAACAACTTTATGTGGTTTTAGAAAATGTTTTACCATTTTTTGCATATTTCTGAATATTTTAATTTTGCTATAAAATATAGCACTTTATTTTCCATTAGATTGTCTAACTGGTTCTTGTTAAGGATATGAATGTCATTGATTTTTGTGTAACATAGTGGTAGAATTTTTGTACTATATCCTTCTACTTTACTAAGTCCCTTTATTGTTTGAGTTAGTCTTATTATTATTTCTCTTGGGTTTCCAAGTATATAATAATATTATTAGCAAAGGGATAATTTAGCTTCTTTTCCTCTTCTTATGCTGCTAAGTTTTTCCTTTGGTCTAATGTGTGCTGATATCCTCACTGCATTGTAATGCAGTAGTAGAGATAGTGGGCATCCTTGTTTTGTTCTAATCTTACTGAGAGTGCCACTGGTATTTATCCGCTGGGAAAGAGGTTGGCTCTAGTCTGTGGGGCATGATGTGTATTCATGTTATTTTATGGAATATTTTTCTTGGAACTATAGTGTTGAATTTTATTAAAAAGTTTTTTCGTATTGATGAATATAATCCTGGGTTTTGCTCCTTAAATCTAATAATATGGTAGATTATACTAATGAACTTTAAAATGTTGAACCATCCTTATATTCCTGGTTAGATAGGTCTCATGATCTAATTTCATGTCCTGTAATTAGGATTATTTGGTCGTTGAATGTCTAATAAAATTCCTCTGTGAAATTCTGGCTGTGAATTGACAAAAGAATTTGATGAAGAAAATTCTCATTTTGTGAAGTCTAAGGATTCAAAAAAAACTTTTATGTTGGGTTATATATCTGCAATTTTAGGTATAAAAAATAAACTATCCAGAAATTTATTTAAAATCTATCCCTTTCCAGACATTCTTTTTTAACTGGAATATTGCAAAATGGCATTGATATAGGAAAGAGGACCTGCCAAGATCAGACTTCATTCTGTGATTATGGAAGCAAAACCATTCTAGAACTTCGCCCATTTTTCTGTGTAACATGCTAATAGAGGCTAGGCAAATAAAAAAGGGATAAAACTAGCTGCACACACGAGTGGTGGGGACTGTGGCAAGTTGGACAGCAGATTATAACTCCTAACCAAATGCTCCTTCTCAGAAACATCTCAGGAATATGAGCCTGATGTTGCTTGACCTCCAAATTTATCTAGAGGCTTCATATCTAGAATTTTTTTAATGTGATTTTTAAGACTTAGCAATTAATTAGAGGCCCATTGTAGGCCAAATACAACTCATTTTGTAAAAATGTGACCCCCATCCGCTCTTCTGAGTGCAGGCAGGTGGGGTGGTTCTGACATGGTAAGTGTCTTGTGTCTTAGACGGGACTGGCTGCTCAACTTTCGGTCGTGAAGAGGAAGCTCTGAAGGTTGTCAGATCCACCAAAGCCACGGAGAGATGCTGCTTGCTCTGTAGCAGAATGAATGATCTTGGAAAGAAAAAGAGATGGCCTAGCTGATGTGGATGATGACTCCTCTGAGCAAGGTCCTGAGCAGTAAACACGTGGGACCTCCCGTGGTTGGTGCCATGGGGTGGTGCCTGGTGAGGACCAGTGAGGAGCGAGTACTCTTGCTTGGCAAGGTTGACTCAGTCCCCCTGCCTGCCATCCATCCAATCCCTTGCCTTTGAGTTTCCTCTTTCCATTTCCTATCGTTCTCTTGCTTTTATACATTGTGCTTATCATGGCCCACTCACTCCAGGGGACTGTTCTGACTACTTCCCTAGTGACAACCTGTCAGTTTCAGCAAGAAAGCCTATTTGGGTTCCTCTTTCTTGGGGAGTTGGAGAACATGCTTCTTTGAGTCCCTCTGTAGCTCTAGCCCCTGACCTCAGTTTCCTGGGCTGATCTTATACAGAGCTCTTGGCTTCTATCCCCAGTACCACACATTCCTAATTATTTGTGTTGCTTCTTGGGTCAGCCTGAGGTCTGCTTTGGATTACTTACTAAAAGTAGCTGATAAACAAATCAAGCTGTGGTTTCCATTTATTCTCTTGTTCTTTCCAGATGCCTGTGTTAATGCTTTTGTAGAGACTTTTCTCCTTTACTATCAAACTGGTTTAAGTCCAGTATCTGATTTTTCATGTGGACCAAAAACCCATTTGCCTTTCTGTGGATTATGTAAAATTAATGAAATCAGGGGATACTTTTCTCCACATATGCCTGGAGTATGACTTGCTCATTGAAGGAATTTTTATGCAGTCCAATTTGTCTTGATAATTAGGAACATAAATGATTTATTTATTGATTATATTAAAACACTTATTGTAAGGGGCAATATTTGTAGAGAAGTAGCTATATCCATGCTGAGATGTTTCTTCCCACTTGATCCCACATTGAAGTCAGAATATAGTGACAACTTCTGTTTCCATAGCTGCAGAATCTGTTTTCAAAAACACAAGACTGTGATCTCAGTGTAGTCGAGTGCACACTGAGAAGCTGATATGGAAATAGAAATGAGGCTTTATTCAAAATACAAACTTTAAAACAAAAACTTCCTGTTCCCTTTTGGTGAGTGGGTGAGATCCCCACCCCTCCTTTTCAGGTTTTGTAGTTTTCCAGGTTAATTTCAGAAGTTGACTGTGAAGGGATCCTAGCTGACTGTCATTTGATCGTTTCATTCAGGAAGCCCCTCAAACATTTCCTAATATGACAGATGAATCACTGGAAATTTATTGTACTTTATAGGTTGCTGCAGTTGTGATTGACCCGCCAGGTCACTGTAAAGACAGAAGAGTTGGTGTGGCTTATTTCAGCGGGCTTAGGCAGAAAGGGTGAGTCATTAAATTCATTCATTCACTTGAGTTCTGTGATGTTCGAGGCACTAAGGGCACACTAGGGTGAACTAAACAGGCAGAAGTGAGTCTTCATTCAGTTTTTGCTCTTACAGGAAGCATGGAAGTTTGTGCATTGTCTAGGGTAGGAAAATGCTGGTTGGAATAGGGTCCCATTTCTCCAACAGGCTGACCTCCATTTCTGGGGGATTATCTCAAGAGGTGACCCAGAGCTGTCTGTCATTCATTGAGCATTTACTCTGCTAAGAGTGCATTTTTCCTCACTTTAGTGTATTATTCATTCTCTGTGACGACCCTGCACTGTTAGGGGCTGCTATTACTTTCCACTTTGTTGATGAGAAGGAGGGTCGTAGGGGTTAACTGACTTTAACTTGCTGAACATGACAGTTACTAATGCTGACCATGTCTTTTTGTCCCCAAAGGGGTTGAGCTTGTAGTAGAAGGACTTCAGGAAATGCATTTGTGGTTATGTGGTCGCGTTTAGGAAATGTGCTCACATCCAGGTTATTTGAAAAGTGCTGGTGGGTAGGACAGTACAGCAGTGCTAAGGTGACTCAACCCTGGAGACGGAAGGGCTGGACAGTCATGTTGGAGGCCAGCCAAGGATATAATAAGGAGGAGTAACAGGGGACTGTTGGTGTAGTCCTGGGTGGGGACCCAATGCCCGTGATGATGAAATTCTACCGGAAATGTTCTTTAATTACATTTGTCATTTTTCTTGTTTTTATGTAAATAAAGATCCCAATCTACCACTTTCCCACTTAATCTGCCCTGAGCATCCTTTTTCTGCATTGCCATTGGAGATGGTGTTACAGTGAGGAGGGTGCAGATGTGTTATCTGGACAGACCATGTCTTATTGAATTGAAATTCATATTCCAACTTACAAGTGTTATGCAGATGCTAAGATGAGGAAAGTTAAATCTCTATGCATGGTTATGATTTTTCTTAGAAAATAGTTGTAGAAGTGGAATTGGTTTTGACAACATGTACCTTTGTGTGTGTGAGGTCATCTCCCATGTCCCTGTCAGCACTAGGTTATAATTAGAATAAAAGCATGCCAATTTGATAGGTAACATAATCTCTTATACTTACTTTAATTATCACTGATTTAATGACTAGTTCTATTTTTTCCTGAAAACTTATTACTGTATTTTCTTTAATAAAAGATTCATATGTGGATATTTTATTGTGGGTTTAAACATTTTTTGGTGTGAAAAGATCTTCATAATTTCTTTGAGTACATTGGTCTTGAAATTGACAGTATCTTATAATCTTAATTTTTTTTTCCATGTAAGGTCATTGTCCCAGCTTTTTGTTATGAAAAATTTTCAAATCTATGTAAGTGATAAGTGCAGAATACAATAAACTGTGTGAGTATTTGCCTTATACATTTACTTTTTTAGGCATGTTTGCCATGTGTAATAGTTTTAAATAGGCTTGAGTTCAATACCCATCGCACCTCTCAATTCTTAGGACTCTAGGCAAATTACTACCAGCCTGAGTTTGGCCATCAGCATCTTGAACAGGGTGATGGTGCTGGCCCAACAGCTGCCATGAGTTTGGGGCAAAGACTCCCAGGTATTACCCCAGGTCTGGCTGAGCACTGCACAGTAAATGCAATCAATAATATGCTTTTCCTAATTAGCATTATTATGATTTTTAAAAAAGCTCTTAGTGCAGTAAAACCAGAACCTGCTAGCCAAGGTGGCCATGCCTTTAACCCCAGCTATTCAAAGGCAGGAGGATGATTACAAGTTTTAGGTAAGCAGGGCAACATAGCAAGACCATGTCTCAATAGAACTGTTCTCTCCCTCCCCATCCCATGTTCCTGGGCCTCTTTCTCACTCTAGATATTATATAAGCTTTATCCTGGAGTGTGAGGGCTCAGCAGTGCTGTTGTTGGCTGGGTGAAGTTCATTACTAATTCAGGGCTGTGCACTGGAGGGCTAGTAAGGCCTCCTGTGCTTGCCCATGGATTTCAACTCATATTCTACTGTTTTTTTCCTCTCCCAGGGACCCTGTGCCCATTCAAAGTGAAGGCATGTGCAGTGTGGGCTGCCGGGGTTCATAGTTAAGGCATTTGGCCCTTCCCAGGCAAGATTCTCCTCTTCAAAGCAATAGCTTTCCAGCCTGGAATCTCAGGTTTCTTTACAGGGATTTGTTATAAAGTTACCATTCTTGTAGCCCTTCTGGGCTTTGGCTAGACTCCAAACTTCTTCCTCAATGTAAAGAGAGCCCAGCTACAATTTCTGGTTCTCTGGTTGGGGCTTGCACCAAGATGTGGCATATTACCGCTGTGATGCTTCTCTGAGAACTGCCTCTGTTCTGCCTGCTGCCCATCAGGCTGGCCTTGTGCCCCTTGGCTGGCAGGATTAAGTGTCCGAGGGCCACCATTTACCCAGATAAGCAATTCTGTTGGCCTGGGTTGCTGAGAAAGCCCTTCTGCAGAGCAACACACTATAGTTTCTGTTCCCTACACTAGCCTGGGAGTGCTGTCTCAGGAATTGACAGTCAAATTTTGACTGCCCTCTGCAGCTTATAGAGTCTCTCAGATGATATATGTCTGTTCTTGGCCCGGTCCAGCTTGTCCACTAAACTTACTTTGTGCTGGAAGATACATAAAAGTTCCACTGGGGCTGAAAGAAGAGAGGCAAGCCGGGAGTAGGCTCCCTGTGTAGCCTCTCCCCCTGGTCTCCTTTGGCAGGAGAGGGAGCTATTTATGGCACTTTAAAAAAAATTTGCTGCCGCCAGCTAGAGAGAGACAGGGACTATTACGTAAGGCTGTGAGCGCGCGCTGTATTTTTGTTCTCTTTTTCTCCCTTATTCTAGGAGACAGAGATGGGCTTACAGAAGGCAGCGTGGCTGGGCATTTCTGTTCTCCCAATTGCAGCAGAATTATTTTTGGAACCGGGGATTTGGTCACATGACAGCAGTTTTCATTCATGAGCCCCAGATCGATTCAATGTTTTCATCTTTACTTCATAGGCATTTATTGGGGGTAGTGTGTGTGTTAGTGGGTTTGCATCCTGAGCAAGGGTTAGAGAGGAGAGTGAGTTGGATTCTGGAACTGAATTGGGTCAATTCTCCAGTTGCTGAGTTCTGCAAATTTTCTCTGAGTGATGCTGATTTCTTTACTATTTGGGGGCTTTGACTTTCCCCAGAGGAAGGTATAACCTTAAAAGTGGCATTTGATTCATGCGTGTGTGCATTTGTGTGCGTGTGTGTGTGTGTGTCTAAGAGTGTGCAATATGTGGAAGCTAGAGAGTAAAAAGGAAAACAAAGGTGGGGGAATCTCATGAAAATGGAAAGGGAGGTCAGTAGAGGAAAGGGGGCAGTAAGAAGGGAAGGAGTGGAAAAGTGGTGGGGAGTGATATTGGCCAAACTGTATTGTTCTATTTTGTGCATGTAACAACAGATCCCACCAGTTCATACAGCTATAATGCACCAAAAAATATGGAGGAAAAAACAAAACAAAACAAAACAAAAACCCAGGGCCTGAGTGTATACTAGGCAAACGCTATGCCATTGAGCTATATCCAGGGCCATTGTTTTCTTTTTCTTTCTTTCTTTTTTTCTAACCCAGGGCCTCTACATACTAGGCAAGGGCTCTACCACTGAACTACATCTGCAGCCAAAGTCTGCATTTTTGTTGTGTGTGACATTTTTGTTGATGTGTGCTCGGTTAGCTTAGTAGTCAGTTAATGATTCGACAGAAATTTTCTTAAACAATTGGAACCAATAAATCTCCCAACCTTTACTGAGGAAAAAAGAAAAAAAAAAAAAAAAGCCCAGGAAAGCAAGAGCAAGAGAGGACAGATGCACACAAGAGGCCCATACAGTACCCATGGCAGATACTGTGTGTGTGACAGGCACTAACTATAACTGCCACCCACATGCCAGGATGCCCGGAAGCCATACTGGCAGAATCTGTAATGGTGGTTGCCTCTAGTCCCTAGCTATCCTGGTCTTTTCTTTCGGGGGTCCTCGGACACTCTCTGGAGTGCACAAGAAGTTGAGAGTTGGCCTTGAGACCATTAGGCACCTCCTTTCCTGTGCTTTGGTTAATTTGCTACTGATTCGACTTCCTGGTTGTAGTTGCTGATATGGGTTCCTCCAAAGCTTTCTTGTTCTATGGGTGGTCACACAGTCCCCTCCTGAGATGCTCCTTCCCTTCACAACATCCCATCAAGTTGGGGCTTAATCCGACAAGAAGGAGATTTGGGGCTACTTTTTCTTCTGGTAGGCACAGTATCTTGGATTTAATTTCTAGGTCTTTGATCCACTTTGAGTTGAGTTTTGTGCATGGTGAGAGATAGGGGTTTAATTTCATTTTGTTGCATATAGATTTCCAGTTTTCCCAGCACCATTTGTTGAAGAGGCTATCTTTTCTCCAATGTATGTTTTTGGCACCTTTGTCTAATATAAGATAACTGTAATGTGGGTTTTCTTTTTTTAAGGAATGAACTCTGTGCAATGTACTTTTCTCTTAGTACTGCCTTCATAGTGTCCCAAAGATTTCAATATGTTGTATCGCCATTCTCATTTCCCTCTAAGAATTTTTTAATCTCCTCCTTGATGTCTTTTGCAACCCATTGTTGATTCAGTAGCATATTATTTAGTCTCCAGGTGTTAGAGTAGTTTTTATTTTTTATTTTATCGCTGATTTCTAATTTCATTCCATTGTGATCTGATAGAATGCAGGGTAGTATCTCTATTTTTTGTATTTGTTAAGAGTTGCTTTGTGGCATAATGTATTGTCTATTTTAGAGAAGGATCCATGTGCTGCTGTGAAGAAAGTGTATTCACTTGTTGAAGGATGAAATATTCTATATATGTCAGTTAAGTCTAAGTTATTATTGAGTTCTATAGTTTCTTTGTTCAGCTTTTGTTTGGAGGATCTATCCAGTGGTGAAAGAGGTGTTTTAAAGTCACCCAGAATTATTGTGTTGCGGTCAGTTTGACTCTTGAACTTGAGAAG